CCGGCGACAAGGCTATTTGCAGAAGGTCCAGGATGGACGCGCGAGTCAGTTTGGCGACGTCCAGAAGGGGCCTGACGATGATTGCATCGAAATCAGGCGATTCCTTGAGAAGCTGTGCGAAGTTTGCAGCCTCAGCCAGTTGAGAAAGGAGGCGCGTTAGACGACGTTCGTCCAGTATTTGTGAAGGCGGAGATATCGTCGAAACACATGTTCTCCACAGCCTCGGAAAGACGAAAGTCCTGACGCCGAAGAGACGAGAAGAATTTCGAAAGCGCTAAGGCAAAAATATGTCTTATTTATTTGTCTGGTGTCTATGCAACTGGAATAGAAGAGCAGAACCGTCGAGGCTTCAGTTCTCATCGATTTTATTCTGTCGAAATAATTTCACTTTAGAAATTGCACCATTCAATCATGTCGGCTAAAAGTACGATTTACGTTATCTTAACCTGTTCCACTTTCTGCGTGTTTAATGCCCGAACACATTGACTACAGAACCCAATTCCTATCACTAGCAATTTGACCTTGTTGAAACGGTGGATTAAATTAGGCTCGAAGCTAGGACGCAAGAGAGCTAATACATCACATCGTGACTTCTAAAAGAAGTCAGATAAAAAGATAAGGTATTTTGAATACTATAGAATGCACTACATAGAACAAGGAGGTGAAGAAACCCAATTCATGATGATTTTGCACAAGATAATTCACTTATGCGAAATTATTGCGTTGTGCAAAATGGTCGACTATTGAAACGAGAAAAAAAGGCAAAATGTAAACATCGACAACAAAAAGCGCAGCTTTGACTGCAACACAGGAAATGCGTTTACAAAATCGACTAAGCGAGGCGGAAACCATCTTAACTAAAGAAAACTTCACCATGGAGTTTGAAATATCACAAGAGAAATTATGGAAACAAACAAGAAAGTTTAGATGAAAATTGGGCCTATATGTAGAAAGACAATGAAAAAAAATTGAACGAAATACCAATGTTCAAAGTTTGCATTTGACACACTGGTTTTCTGGTATGTAATTTTCATGTATAAATGATGAAGTGAAGGGAAGTAAATATAGATTTGCAGTTAAAAAGGCGAATTATATTAACCTTTAATTACCAATTTCTGAAAGCAATTTTATGTATCACATAATCACTAAGCAGGCTTATTTAATGATATCTGATTACAAGGTGAAGAGCTGTGAAGAGCATCATCTTATTCAACCATAAGTAAATGAAAAAAAATTCCAGTAGTCTGACCTCTTGCACTCTGTCGAATTCCTATAATTTATTCATTTAATGGTAAAAGTAAAAAATTTGCATTAAAAAGCAATAAAAAACAAGAAATTGTGCTAGACTTTCCAAAAGCATTCTTCATTGAATCGATATCCGCACTGTTTTAAAGAACCACAGCGACCTTGATTGTTCACTTGGACAAGTATGAAGTGTGATATTCGTTGTACCCGGTTAGTAACATCTCGCGTATTTCGATAGTTTGGATTCCTACAGGGCATTCTGTCGTGCATATGCGTAGTATGATTTGCTGCGTTTTTTAGTGTTTTGAATTGTCGGCATGATCAGAAGTGACAAACAATTTCTCATTCGGATATACCGCCAGAGTGTTTAGGGGAAACGGGGGCCCTGAGCTTGAAGCCGCCGACTAAGGAGGACCTCAAAAAATCAGCTGCCCTGGAAGAGGCCCTTGCAAAAATGGATGTATTCGAGAGTCGGGAGGAGATGCATCAGCGGCGGGAGGCCCTAAGTAAACTGCAAGGAATGTCAAACCGCTGGATTTACACGAAGGCTGTGGAACAGAACCTGCCGGAGCACATCGCACGCTCCACAACCGGCAAAATATTCACCTTTGGTTCATACCAGTTGGGCCTGAATTTTAGGGGTGCAGGCATCGATGCTCAGCTAGTTGCTCCTCGGTTTATCACGAGGGAGCAATTCTTCTCTGATTTTCAGGCCCTTTTAGCGGAGGACGATTCTGTAGAGGATCCACACGCCGTCCCACACGCCTATGTTCCCCTACTCAAACTGAAGTGCATGGGTGTTGAGGTAAACCAGATCGATTAATTAACTGAATCACTTATTGGTTGGTGTTTAGGTTGATTTGCTGTTTGCACAAGTCGACATGATGTCGGTACGAAGCGATTTTAACCTATCCGACAACTGTGAACGCCTGCTGCGCAATATGGATAAGCGAGACGTTCGCAGTGTTAATGGTGTGCGTGTTACAGAGGATATATTGAATCTGGTATACGGGAAGAATGTTTTTAAAGCAGCTCTAAAGGTGAGGTGGAAATGTTGTGAACTGATGTTCCTTAGGTTATCGGCTTATGGGCGAAGCGGAGGAATATTTACTCGAATGCCATGGGCTTCCTTGGAGGCGTCAGTTGGGCAATCTTGACTTGT